ATGTTAGTAGTAGCTAGTCCAGAACAGGAGGAATATAATTAATAGGAAGTAATTCTATATATCTTAGGAGTACTATAGAGTGAAAACTCACTAAATTCTAAAACTCAACATGCAAAGATGCTACATTATCATCCACTAACAATTAATACATCTTAAATATAACGTAAGCATGCTATATTATCTATAATTCTAAAATGTATTAAATTCTGTAGTTTTAAAATGCAAGCATATTAAATCATCATCCCACATAATTCACATAATATTTTAATATATATCTCCAGCATTTTTGTATGATATCCTTATATAGTTCATCTTCACTTAGTTAATGCTATTCCTCTCTTCTCTCATTAAGTATATCACATCACATCACATCTATGGTCAAAATTATTTTCCTCATTTTATTCTCTCAGTAAGACATATCAATTGTTTTTAGTCCTTAGATTACTAATCTATGATTCAAATTATCTCCCTCCTTTTTCTCTCTCATAAGCCGCATCACCTTACTTTTATATTTGGATCATCATTCTATATACTATTTAAATTATCATAAAAAATATCAACTTACGTAAGCTTATGCCATGTAGCTATCTATTATATACTCCCTCGTCCCTAAATATTTGATGCTGTTGATTTTTTTAAAACATATTTGACCGTTCGTCTTATTCAAAAACTTTTTGTGAATATTATTAAAAAAAACTTGAGTAGTAGTAGTAGTATATTTAATAATGAATCAAATGATAAAAAAAGAATTAATAATTACTTACTTTTTTTAATAAGACAAACGGTCAAACATGTTTTAAAAAATCAACGGAGTCAAATATTTTGGGACGGAGGGAGTATTATTTATACTTATTATCACTATATATTATACTAAACTCTCACATCAACGCGCGAGGTTTCACCTAGTTAAGTAGACAAAGCTTACAAACTTGCATTTTGTTGAGCGTAGGACCACACTAATTAACATTTCAGTAAAAATAAAGCCAAAATTAATTAACCAGGAGAAGTGAAATTAGAAAGAAAAAACAGCATATGAACCTTTAAAAAGAGCAGATGAGTATCACATATTTGACCGCGCTTAAACTAGCTAGCTCCACAAAAAAGTGGAGAGATATTCAACGATCGAGATGCATGCATAAATGCTTGTTTTGTGTGGAATGTTGTCACCATGTGTGTGTTTGCGAGTTACCCAAAATAGTACTAGCAAATGCACGATTGCAAAGCGCCATATATATACCTTTTTTTTTAAAAAAAAAGTGGCATTTATTCATATCAAATATTTTAGCCACTGATCTTAAGATTAGTGTGATTATTAATCCAACACCAAGTGCGCTTACTCATAAATGGGTTGTCGTTCATATCTTCAATTGATCATGATCCTGACTAAAATATATGCCCACCCTTTGATGCGGATTCTCCACCATTTAATTAAACAGATCACATTAATCGCAGCATGACACACAATGAGCAAATGTATTACATCTAGACTACCCTATCCCCATTTGTTTAAGTTACCCATTTAAAAACTGTGAAGTGATCAGTATATAGTACTACTGTATATCTAATGTGCCATATGGCCTGACACAGGCTGCCTCTGATCAATTCCAAAATTCAGAGACAGTTCTCCGTGACTAACTCCAAAACAATTCTTTCTGGTGCTTTGTGAAAACAAATTAAGGAGAGACAAGTGATTAGCGTTTGCTTTAATTTGGACAGTACTACTCTACAGCAAGTCAAGAAGTCAATCCAAGTTGATCAGTGTAGGAGTACTAAAAGTATATACGTAGTATACTACTAGTGATTAATTAGTGAGGCCATTGGCAGTTTGGCACATGGCACAATTTGGAATCTTTGGGGCAGCTACTAGAGAGAGATAGAGATGGGAAAAGAAACCCTAAACTGACACAATGTGTAGTTGTCAGGAAAAGAAACATTAGTGCACATACCTCAAAAAATACTCTGTGCTTGTATTTGTGTGTGGTTAAGTGACAAGACTCTTTAGCCTTGACTCAACTCCAGTAATGCACGAAGTCAAACTGATCAAATCATAAGCTCATGGTTTCTTAATTATTTTACCAAGATATGCCTAGATAACAAATGGCACATTGTGCAGGCCAAGGTAAAAAGGAGAACGACGTGGGTTGAATATGGTTTGACTATCACGCTATATATGGATGGATCGGACATGCATGCGTGAAAACTTTTCTCAGTTAATTATTTCTTTACAACTGTTGTCTATTCATGCACACGTTAGTTATTAATCAATTTGTTATACTGATCTACTACTATACTCTGTTCTTTCTTCCCTACGTCAAGTTCTCACTATTCCATGGATTAATAAGGATCTATGGACACTATAACACTTTGGTTTAGTTGGGATTAGATCACTAATCAATGCTACTGGTGTACTAGTAGAGAGAGAACAAAACAAAAAAGTCTGAATTAATATGTTTCTATCATGAGTCATCAGATATATATTTTATCCTGTCGCCTGTTCAGAGGTACAGGACTGGTCTGACGAACGAATTAAGCTCATAACATATAATTAGAGCAGAGTCGATCGATAAGCTTGAGCAAAATTTAATCAATATCCATCTCAGTGAAGAGATAATATCGAACTCTAATACCGTATCATCTCCACATCAATCAAGCATGTCCTTTAATTTGCGCCAAAAAATTTCCTTCAAATATATGGACACCGTATCTTCTGTGCGTCCAAATAGCGCTGTATATATATATACCTGTCTGAACTGAAGAAAGTATTTATCCAACTGGTCATAATATGTGCAATATTTCGTCTACATCATTCTAGTTTGATTAAAAATAAAGGTACGGATATTATGTCCGGCCGCATGCGATCCCATATCCAGGATGTCATTAGATTCAAAGAAACTTCCTACAGAAAGCAACTCTCCTTTGTTTAATTCTGCTGCAGCATCACCTTCAAGAACCCACTTGCAATTGATTCTTAAACAATACATAATCATCACATTAGTTAAGTACCAAGAGCTAGCTAAGTGAATTGATAGATTCCAAATGAGCATAATCTATGTGCTTAATTGATTGCAGTGGGATGATATGTCTGAATGGTTGCTTAGCAAAAGGAATTCACATATATGCGTGCATCATTGGTTTTGCATTCGCAGTTTGTGCTATCGACATAATTGAATAATGAGAATAATCCAAGTGCAATATAATTAATTAATTTATGTCTGTAGGCCGGGTATGTGCATCTCTCTTATCGTTCTGTTTATTAATTATTAGCTACTCCTATATATTTACAGTTACTAATTTATTTACAACTATATAGTTAATTATTAGTTAACTATTGCTCTGCTAAAATATGTAATCTTACATGAAGTGGATAGTTGGACGAGAACAATATAAAACTATGCTAGCATAGCAATATATACTACTCCTGTGCCTGCAGGCCGGCCGGATCGATTATAAATAATTTTCTCCAGCAAGCAACACACATATCGCTAGCTGTGTGTGTGATACTGAGATGTGCTTCATTTCAATACCACGGGCACGTTCATTCAGAAGGAAATATATCAAAACAAATCGATAAGGAAACAACTGAAAGATATTATAAAATAGAATATAAAAAGATGGCAATGTAGTATGTGTTCCCAAGAAAATTATGATCATGTCACTTTCGAATCAGCTAAGATCCAATTAAGAATTCAAACACCTTACTATATGCTACGATTACATAGGTGCTGAAAGTAGTATGCTTTGGTACAGAAAGAGGTCAAGTGAAATACATGGTGAGGCTGTATATATGTATGTCTGTCTGTCGTTGTTGGTGTAATGGTGTTGCTAGCTAGTCAGCTGGGTCAATGGCTGTGGTACAACCAACCTACCTATTCATCACTTGCACCGGTTAATAAAGTTTCATGAGTACGTAGGATAAAGGCGAACAATATTGCACGCCCATTTTCAGAGATCAAAGTACACACACATCCACGATGCATGCATGTTTGCCACAGTGCCCTGCGGTAACATGACCAAAAGTAAACAGGACTATGAGTCACTGTGTACAAAGTGTACAACGCCGCATGCATGTACATGGTGTCATCGATCGAGCACGGCTCAGTCAGTATATTAACTGTGAAGCCCGGGGCAACTATTATATCACTTGTTAATTCCTATACAAAATTGAAATGGTGGTTATCACATTATCCAGATTTATTAAACCATGGGCTAATTAACTATAGGGTTAATTCCTTCTCTCTCTTTTCTTTTGCAAAACACAGCACACACTCATCCCTAATGAATGTACACACGCACGTACACTATATCTAGAAACACTTTCATGAAACTGGATCAATATATTTTGAGATTGATAAAATCAACACAGATATCATATGGCAGACGTGAACCTAAACTGTCAAGCTATGCTCGGTTTGCATTATAGGTATCAATTACATGTCTTTTTTGCTATAGTACTCGTACTATACCGATACTTCTCGATAGAGAGTGTCGGCCGGGGGCAAGAAATCAGCACGTACTGGTGCCGTTCATCAGGGAAGAGTGTCACGGAGCACGCCAGCTCGCTCGTCCGGCCGGTGGCCGCCCGTCGCCGGTCAAGACGACAAGGGTACGACGCGCCGCGCGTCCGCTTTCCGATTCAGTTTTTTTTGTTCTTACCTTGCACGCGATGCGCCGCGCGCGAGACAGAGAGATCTCATGAGCGAGCCGTGGTGGTACGCGCGCGCTGCGTACGTTTTTTTTTCTTCTTTGGTTTTACCGCGCGCGCGCGCGACAAGCGCCCGCCGCGGCCATGCCGCCTTGCGTGTGGGGATCGCACACACCTCTCTCTCTTCTCTCCCCCCCGGCCGCTTGGGCGGGCGAGGTCAGCGTCCGTCCGTCCGGCCCCGCGCGCGCCCGTGTATGTATGCGTTTGCATTTGCATATACATGCATACACATCCACAGCCACAAAAAATATTACTAAAACCACGTCTCCCTCTCTCTCATCTCTGCTGCTACATACTTCTTTATTGTCATCTTGGAAGCCAACTCAAGTTACCCATCTCTCTCTCTCTCTCTCTCTTCTCTTCTCTTTGTTTTCTTGTTTGCTTGCTTGGTGTAAAGAAAAGATAGCTCCCTTTCCACTGCCCATCTCTCACATCCCTGCTTCCCTTCCACCCTACCTCCTTTTCTGCCCCCTCTCCACAACACCCCAACAAGTTTGTTTGCTTGCTCGCACGCTTGCTGCTGACTAGTAGCTCGCTAGAACAAGCAGATCAGCTCAATTACCTAGTGTCAAGAACGGAGAAGAAGCTTTCAGCTTAGGTAGCTTTGGTGCGGAATTGTGTGCAGAAGCGGGAGGAGAATTATTGAGCGGTTGGAAGTGGATGCTTGCGTCGAGCTAAGCAAATAGCATCCACTATAGAGAGATCGGTGGAGAGAAAGCCCTAGCTGAGAGGAAGCTCTAGCTAGCTAAGCTAGCCATGTGCGACTACTTCCTGCAGAGGATGGAGGGCGACCAGGCCGGCGGCGACCTCACCGACATCGTCCGCGCCGGGGGAGGGGCCATGCCGGGGAGCGTCGTCGTCGACCTCCCGTCGACGGCCGCCGAGTGGCAGCTCCCGGCTGAGCCGATGCTCTTCCCGCCGCCGCCGTCGTTGTCGTCGACGACGGACGGCTGTGGCGCCGGGGGAGCGGCAGGCGCCGACATCTTCGGCGGTGGCGGCGGCGACCTTTTCTCCGGCCTCGTGGACCCGTTCAGCAGCGACTACTCGTCCGGCGCGGACTTCTTGGACGCCATGCCGGACGCGATGGCGAAGGTCGGCTTCGACACAGCTGTCGGCGGCGGCTGCGGCGGCGGCGGCGGAGGTGGTGGTGGGAGCGGTGGACACCTGTTAGACATGAGCAGGAAGCCTCTCTTGCCCAGAGGGATGCCGATGGCGGCCGTCGGTGGGCTGGCGGCGCCGAGGGTGATGCCATCGCCGCTGTCGCCGCGAGCCATACGGCCGTACCCGCCGATCTCCGCAGGCGACATGATGAAGCTCGGCATCACGGCAGGGCAGGCGGCCGGGTGCGCCATCGACGCCGCCGTCGCCGGCATGCAGATGTCGTCGCCGCGCTCCGGCGGGATCAAGCGCAGGTTGGGCCGGCAACCACCATCCTATAGCTAGATCTAATTAGATCGATCCAAAAAGAATTCTTCGTTTGGTTGCATGCACAATATCTTGGGTTAATTTCGTAATTCGTGACCGGATTTTGATTAATTAGGGGGGAAGTGATTGTACAACTTCTCCTTGTTTTTTTTTCTCTCTTTCGCTATCCAATTTGCTGTTCTTTTTTCGAAACAAGCAAATTTGCTGTTCTTTTTTTCCGTGTTCTGCACTGCACCGCCGAAGAAAGTAAGAAGAGAGATCGAGGAGGAATTCCGAGGATTCTTCGGGCTGTGGCAAGGTCACAGATGTTACCTACAGCTCAAAATTTTAGGCACAAGAGTTATCATGAACACATGGTGAACGGTGGGAATATTTCTGGATTGGCAAAAACGCATTGCATATCGGGTGATGTGCATATCTGCATCTAGACCTAACCGGCCACAGCTTTTTTTCCGGCCGGCAAGGTCGGCTTTTGAAACCCTAAGCTAGCACATACGCATCGCCTCGATTTGATCGATGCAAAATTTGCAAACGAGTTAATTAACTTGGCTGCGACATTGCGTGTGTACACATATGGATATGTAAAACAAAAAAAGAAAAAACTGTGAGATATATAAGTGATACTTATCCAAGTGCTAATTAAATTGCAGGAAGAACCAGGCGAGGAAGGTGGTGTGCATCCCGGCGCCGACGGCGGCGGGAGGAAGACCCAGTGGTGAGGTGGTGCCTTCTGATCTCTGGGCTTGGAGGAAGTACGGCCAGAAGCCTATCAAGGGCTCACCCTACCCAAGGTACATGCATGTTTATCATTCTAGCAAATGCATTTTCTGTTTTAACATAAGCTAATTGATTTGATGAGGTAATAAATTGGATTGAATTGAGTGTGTATGCATTAAAATGTTTGAACAAACTCTTTTTAATCATCTGGCATTCATGTATATATATAGTCCATCATCATTATATAATTTTATCCAGTACTCCACATTGCGTCTGCACGATCCATGCATGGAAGTCAAGAGATTAATTGGAAGATACTAAACAAATGGTTAGCTAGGTATAGGGTAGCATGAAAGATGCATGCATGCTTCTAGCTAATTCTCATATCCAACTAGTTCTACTAGCTTCTGTAATTTTTGTGGTATTTTTGGGGTTGCACACCTCATCACATACAGATAGTACTCCATAAATGTGTGACGAATTAATTAGCTAGATAAAATGTACTGAAATAATATCTGCTGAGATTAGTTTATCCTTATTCCAAGGGTGTAGTACTTAGTTTATCCATGTATTAATTTGTACAAGTTTTAAATCAGCAAGTCTCAACTCTCGGTGCACACTGCAGGTAACTAGCTAGCTCACACGATTAGATGGAGTATACTCCTATATCTTTCTGGCAAGCTAGATGCAGTTAAGTCCAGGATTTTTTTTTTTGTACACACATCAGATATGATGTTTCTCTTTCTCTTAAAATAAAAATGGAAGTGTAATGAAGTGAGTAAAATTAAATCAAGTACTGTAACCAGTTTGAGACCACTGTGATTTCAGTATGAAAGTCAAAACATTTTTTTATTGGAAACGGCCGGATATATCTTCCATAACTTAGAGGATCGAAGCACATAGGAGTACTACTACTAGTACTTATTAATTTACCTACAGCATTGGTTTAATATCAGAACAAGTGATGAAGTGCATGCAAGCTTAATTAGTCGATCTAAACAAATATATCTTGTTGAAATGAACAATTTGCAGAGGCTATTATAGATGCAGCAGTTCAAAAGGTTGCTCTGCAAGGAAGCAAGTAGAGCGCAGCCGTACTGACCCAAACATGCTCGTCATCACCTACACCTCGGAGCACAACCACCCATGGCCGACCCAGCGCAACGCCCTCGCCGGCTCAACCCGGTCTCACCACAGCAAGAACAGCGGCGGCGGCGGCGGCTCGGGTTCCAAGGGCTCTCAGAACGACAAGTCACAGCAGCAGCCAAGCGTTAAAGAAGAGCAGAAGGATCAGGCGACGACGGCGACGACGACGACCACCAGCACAATCACTACCACGAATAGTGCTTCTCCTGTGGTTGTGAAGGAGGAAGAGGCGGCACTGGCAGGATCGTCGGAAGCATTGGAGTTGGAGAGAGTCATGGACACTACTGCAGCTGGAGTAGTAGACCACAGTGAGCTCATGGATCATGTTTTCAGTGAGAGCTACAAGCCGATGATACCGGAGACTGGCCAGCCGGATGATTTCTTCGCAGACCTCGCCGAGTTGGAGTCAGATCCCATGAGCTTAATCTTCTCGAAGGAGTACATGGAAGCCAAGCCAAGTGGTGGCGATCATGCCCAGGAGAAGGCAATGGCCAAGGAATTGGATCCATTCGACATGCTAGACTGGTCTACTACTACTAACTCTTCGGCAGGGAGCTCATTTGAGCAAGGGAAGAGAGGCTAAACCCATGGGCATAAAGCCATGCATGAGGGTTTATGCATGCATACGGTTACATAAACTTGATCCCAGCTAATAACCATAAAGATTGTGACAATGTCAGCAAAGGAAAGATGAGATTTTTTTTTTTTACTTTTCTTTTCTTCATTTGGTCTCTCTGCTTCTTCATATTATTGTGTGTGAGAATTAAATTTTGTTTCAAGGTCTAGGTATATGGACCTCATTTTTTAGGCTGTGTCAACTTGTTGTACTTATGCATGAGATGATGACCACTCTATCTCTCTCTCTGTCGCTCGATGTGTGCACTGTGTTTATGGTTATCTAACAGATATAAGAAGATTATATTCTATGTGGATGTACTGCTGGGGTATAGGGATAGCAGCTGAACAAGTAAAATTAAAATGGGGTTTTTGAAGTTGATAGATGGAAGAAGAAGAACAACAAGAGTGTGTGAGATCGACCTGCATTCCTGAAGGGGATAGATATGATGTGACAGAGATCGGGACATGCATGCATTGCTAGCTTGCAACGGAAGTGATATGCCCTTGGATGTGACCTCAAGTGAAACACGGTGCGTGAAATAGCTAGAGTATGAATCACAAACACGCACACACTACTCCTCTCAAAGTTGGCAGAATAGTGCATGCGTGTCTGCCAGTGAGAATCTGAAACAATATAGGGGATGCCAAGGAACACTAGCTGGCCTCCTCTTCCTCTTTGCTTGCATAAGGAGGGCATATGTTGGATTCGCTGGAGATGGTACATATTTTTGTCTCTGCGCCAAGGAAATGCATTTACTTCTCCTGTTCATCTAATGGCCAAACATTTTTGAGATATACATTACTCATCAATCCCCTCACGGGCTCACCCCATGAATACGCATATGTACATCAGTAGTTCAGTACTACACACATGTGATAATATTGTACTGGTATATACATGTATATCTGTGCAGTACTATTTGTATATGGAACTAGATAGCTGCATCCTCTAGCTACCTGCAGTATCATGCAGGAAGTAAATACATGCACTGCTAAAAAAATGTATATACGTGGCATCTGGCCTTTGATTTGGCCCACTGGATTAACACCATTTCCCATCCATCAATAGTACTTCTAGCTTCACTACAAGTGAGTAGGGACAATGCGACTATGCGAGGACTAATGCCATATGCAGGATATGGTATGTGTCTGTTGTAGCTGGATGTGAGCATGTGGATGTGTCTTGTGGTTAAATGTATCTGAAGACTCAAGTCATTGTAACGGTGTCTGTGGATACATGCAGCATGATATGTACGTCCATCCACCACTCGCTCATTTGTACGAGGTATATATACTCGCCCGGAGAATAAATGTTTTATTTTTGAAAAACAAATATTCTTTTGTACTTATTGAACCAAGATACCTGTAGTAAACAGCAATATTAATATTGATGTTTAACTAATTAATTAAAGATGATGCAAGGAAGCTATATATAAGCGCTGATCTGGATGGATGAGGAACTCGACACCTGGGCGAATTTGTACCTTTGCCGCAAGGATAGCGAGCGCTGTAGCTCTCTTCATTTTCTTTCTCTGATCCCAGGTGGTGCATACCCTGCAATAGTTCTTCAACGGCGGCTCGTCTTCTCCGTTTCTGCTACATACATCGTCCTCACCTTTCGTTGAAGCTGCTTGTATTTGTCTGCTAGTACTGTTTATTCTAAAATATTCAACATACAGAGCTTTTGCGTGCGTGTTTGTCGAAAATGTTCTGGCAGGATAAACAGGTAGGAAATACAACTTTGCAAGAACAATATCCGTTTTGTATAATATTGGTAGATACAAACAGGTCCACGGTTGCATAAGCTCTAACTAACTTTATATCCTCCTAAAACTTCTCTTTGAGAAAGGATTTTATTGGGCAAAAATTAGTACTACTAGCTTGGAATGCTTTGCTTCCATGTGGTGCTAATATTGTTTAGTGTAACACTACCGTGCAAGCCAATCCATCAAATGAGCGGCCACACTTACACATAGCAACCTACTTACATTTTTGTTCTCGTTTCGTGTAAAAAAGTTAATCCGGGAGTGGTATGGTTGAATGGACAATATCTTATAAATTGGTTCCACCCAACTAAACTAGCAATGTGGTGTTAAACGTGCATGTATCCACGGCTCTCAGGCCACAAATGGGCCATCTAAATTGGGCGGATGTCAAATTTTGTCACTGGACCTAGATGAATTTACCTAGAACATAAACCCAAATTGGACAGATCTATCTCTAGCTTGTTATGGTTGTGCCAGCAGCGTCCTGTCCTACTTAGTTTCTGTGCTTGACATCTTGAGCTGGTATCATGATCCCAGCGGTTGTATGGCTCTGTTACGCTTTGTTATAAAAGCTGGGCTTTGGCCTTTTTCCAAAAAAAAAAAAGCATTATTACATATAGATGTCCTAAATCCTACTCCCTCTGTCCCATAATATAAGGTATTTTGAGTTTTTGCTTGCAACGTTTGACCACTCGTCTTATTATTTATTTAAGCACAACTTTTTATTTTTTATATTTGCAAAAAAAATTTTGAATAAGACAGTAGTCAAACGTTGCAAGCAAAAACTCAAAATCCCTTATATTGTGGGACGGAGGGAGTAACAAACACCCATGGAAATTAAAGATGCCATTGAAAACAAAGATCTTCTTTTGGTATTTCCGTTACAAGGGGTAGAACGATCTTCCTTTGGTATTTCCATTACAAGGGGTAGAACTGACAAATGATGACAATTAATCTATCTAAGCGAAATTGACGATGCAATATGAAATCGTTAGTTCTATTGACGCAACTATTACTTACTGCTCGCTATGGCTATGCGTGAAAGATATATTTTTCTGATAAGAAAAAAAATCATCTTCTTTAATATAGGCTATCTACTTACTTATCCAATAGCTTCGTACATGGGTCTTTATCCTTCAAAAGACGCCGGATTTACATGACTTGGTTGCAGTTCCCTGTCAACAATTGGTTGGAGCAGGTGGATCCATGGTTATGGGTGGTGGTCTAATCTCTTCGATCAGATTGATGGTCCTTAATATTAGTACTTCTTTTGAGTTCATTTTCATAACTGTTTGTTTCTTTTTGGGTTGTGTATATCTTAGCTATACAGAGGCTAGATGTATTTTCACGACTATATCATCTTGATATAGTTATCTTGAATTCAATAAAAGCTTCCTTTATAAGAAGAAAAGGAGTGCCTGCATTTCACTCTACTTTGTTACCAGACACCATTTTGGTGGTTCCTTTCTAGCAACAAATTTATAAACACTTAGAAATAGACTATAATACTTCATATTGAAGTATGTCACGTGGTAATTACACACTTTTTATATATAACTAGGAAGGTGGCCCGCGCGTATGCGCGGGCACTTATATTATTGAAAGGTAAGATTATTGTTTGTTCAAAAATTTTGTCTCATAGATTTAGGGCAAACTAAAGTTTGGATAATTTTATTTTATAATAATTTAAGGGTTCTATTTTTCTTAAGGTATCTTAGAAAACCATTCACGAACTTTTGAGTAGGAGATGGGTTTAGTACTTACAACTTTTAAATCATGTTTTTTTTCTCGAGTAAATAAGAAACTATTGGTAGTTAATTATCATACAGTCCATCTATATACATACCGTGTAGTATGGCCGCAAATGAAAAATGCGAGTGCAAGAATTCAAAACTCTTTTGATTAAATCATCTCATGAAGGCGTATGATATAGTAATAAAGGGAGGGAAGCATATGCATGGGAAAAAAGAAGAAAGAGAAAAATGAAAAAAAGGGAGGGGATGCGTACGAACCCGCGCACGTAGGTGCGCACCTATGCTGAGGTGGGACCCCGTAATATTTAGTTTGTTCTAAGATCAATTTAATCTAACGGTTTATAATATTGGACCTACCGATTTAAGTGAAAATTAAGTAATAGATAATTTTATTTTTTTTCTTAGAATTTCTAATATTTGCCCTAATTTATTAGAGCACCACGCGGCAGTTTGAGAGCATTTTAAGGAATTTTAAATGACTAATTAGAATATTAACTGCGCAATATATATGTATGGGACATATGGTAATATTTGTTCCAGCTTCGTCCTTGTTTATATAAATGTAGAGAGAAATTAATTTTGTGGCTAGCAAGCCATTAGATGTCTAACTAATAGCAATTAATTTTGACACCTATTTACAATTGTTCAGAGTAACTCTTATATATTCATCTTACGACTTCGATAATCCATTGATCACCAATTTACTAATCACCATGACTTGCATGAAAAAAAAATATGTAGTAAGGTTTAGGATAGCTGAAATTGATGAATTATATAATTTATGTGATAGCTATTTGAGAGTATAAACGAATGAATTGACTTCTAAAACGTTAAAATGTTGTTTAAAGAAGACACCATTTAGAAACTTAGAAAGCGTGCAAACAAAAATCCAAAATATGCAATCGGGAAAATAATTAATCGCTGCATCACACCTTTAATTTTCTTTTCATGTTATTAATAAAATTAATCATCTCCATATATGATTTGATATGTGGCAAAACGGTAGCGCTACATCGGTTGTGATCACCTTAGATGTCTCAGACACTGCGCTTTGTTACATGTGCGAAAGGCAAAGGTGCATACGTATATTGTGCAGCGAGCAAAAAGAGAATTTCGGACGCTTTATTTATTAGCAAACAATAGATCCGATGATTATAATAATATGTCCACCAGTTCTAGTGTAAGTGTAAATTAGTTAATATAGATTTTAAATTTTTATTTTAATGGGTACATAATATAATGGTGTAGACCTTACATTGAAACAGTGCATTACGTGAGAATAATAGACCAATGTAATAAAAAGTAGATCCGATGATTTATATAATGGGGCCATCAGTTTTAGTGCACGTATAAATTAGTTAATATAGATATTGTTTATTTGATAGGTACATGATATAATTGTGTAAAATTTATTTTAAAATAGTGCATTATTTGAAAATAGTGGTACAAAGTAAAAAAGTACACCGGTTTAAGTTATATGATGGTAGATTATTTGTTTGTAAAATTATGATTAATTATTTAAAAATATATCCATTATATATATAAATGGAAAAAATAAGAAAAAAAAGAAAAAAAGGAAAAAAAGGGGGGGAAGGAGGCGTACGTATGTACGTACGTATATACTACACCTGCCAATGTGTGAGAAGAGGATAGGTGGGACCATGGTATTTAGTTTGTTTTAAGATCAATTTTATCTAACGGTGTATAATATTGGACCCACCAATTTAAGTGAAAATTAAGGGATAGATGTTTCGCTTTTTTCTTAGAATTTCTAGGATTTTCTCTATTTTATTAGCGCGCCACGTGGCGGCTTGAGAGCGTTTATAGGAAGTTCATGGACTTTTAGTATATAATAGATAGAAGATAGATAGATAGATAATAGATAGATAGATAGATAGATAGATAGATAGATAATAGATAGATTTAACAACTTTCAAGTTATTGGTAGCCTGGAACAATAACCTGGTTGATTCTGGCATAATGGTAGAAAGCTTGCCTCATTAATTTTTGTTGGTGGAACCAAATTAAGTAGACTATAAACAACTCTAAATTTTTGAGCTTCGGCAGATAAGCCATAAAAAACAATTAAAGCAACCAAAAATAAGTTATAACAAAACTTTATATCTATATTATTGACAATAATTAAAAGCCAAGAGTACAACCCCTCAAGAATCTACTCTAAGGCTGCGTTCGTTTGGGTGATAGGGAGTGAGAATGCACATCGTTTTCCACGCGCACGTTTCCCAAACTACTAAATGGTGTGTTTTTTGCAAAAATTTTCTATATGAAAGTTGCTTTAAAAAATCATATTAATCCATTTTTAAAATTTAAAATAGTTAATACTCAATTAATCATGAGTTAATGGTTCACCTCGTTTTGCGTATATTCCCAATCTCCTTAATCCCCTTCTCCTCAAACACACCCTAATATTTCAATTTTTGGTTGTGACTAATAAGCCAATAAGCAAATTATTAGCTAGTTTGGACAAACCACGTTATCAAAAATGAAAATCGTACTAGTAATAAGTTTTACTCCCTCCAAATTTAAATAATTATCACCAAACTCCATCCATTTTCAAAATTTTACTACTCGTCTACTCCAACACAATAGTAATAATTAAAAAGGATGAACTTTCATTCATCGTAATTTTTATTTTGCGATTACACAGCACAAGCGCACACACACATGCAACACTATACTGGCATACATCCGTGAATGTGTCCCCTATAACACGCTCTCTAAGAGTTAAAAACCCAATGACTCAAATTTGAATAATTATCACCAAACTCGATTCATCTTTGAACTTTTACCAGTTGTCTATTCCAACACAATAGAAATAATTAAAAAGGATAAACTTCCGTTCATCATAATCTTATTGTTTAAGAGTTATTAGTGGTCAAAATTAAAATAGATAGTACTACAGTCAAGATCGATAATTATTTGAAAACGTAGGGAGTAATAATTATAAAATTAACCTGTAAAAGTTTTGATATTATAAAAGAAAGCGTGAAGAACGTACGAGTACTGTTAGAACTAATGGAAGAAATAACCCCAATCACTTCTCGAAACGCATGTCTCTATATCAAATTGATATGAACTGAAGAGATATTATAATGTTAGGCGCAGCGCAGGCAGGCATGCATGCTTGCATCTTAAACTAAGTTGGGCTTATTTGGTTTACTATTATGCCAAAATATAGGTATGTAGATTTTGATAGTGCCAAATCTTTTGACGTCTTATTGACACATTTTGGTAACAAACTAAACACTAGCCAAACTATTATTTAAAATAACAACAATTTGATAGGATATATTTTGGCATCAAACAAAAATGGTCCTTTATCAGTCATCGCCCTTGTTGTTTTGACAGTGCAGTGGTAAAAGTCCCGTATTTAATTACCAATACACTTACAGTTTTCTTAAGAAAATGTTTGGAGAGGCGGCCCTCCCTCTGCATCTTGTTTTATCAGTCATCGCCCTCGTTCTCCACGCCGCGTTGATCAACAGTCCGCTCGTACGAGTACGACGGCGACGCAAAAGCTGCCGCGGCCGTCGCTGTTCATGGAGTTCGTGCGCGCTCGCTCTCCTCCTCGCGGGGCAAAATGATCGAGCAAAACACGCATATCGAGTGCTTTTCCGCCATGCAAACAATGCATCAAACCCCCGTGTGGGTAAGGATAATTCCGGACGACGACGCCCCTGTACAACAGCAATGGCCGTGACTGTACGTGATTGGGTTGTGATGGATCCAATAATTAGGCATTTAATCGCCGGGGCATACCTGTCCGTCGTCCGATATAGGACTACTACTATAGCTCGCATTTGATCCGGTGTGTGTGGATCAATGGCGCGTACGTGCACGCAGGCACCAGTGCTATAGCTTCTGCTTCTGCTGCTGCTTGCTTGCATGCAATGCACATTGCTCACACAGCCTCGCACTGTTTGGGAGGGGGCAAGCAACCTTAATGCATGCCAAGAACCGAACTGGGCTGAAAACTTTAAGGGAACCCCTGTGCCGGCACGTATGAATGTTTCAGACTTTCAGAGGAGACGCATGCATGCGTATATGTCTCATGCCCTGCATGATGATGGCATTTGCAGGGGCTCGCAGTTGTCTTCGGCAAGAACAAAATTTAAGAGATGTGGAGTGAAAACGCTAACGCTTGCAGCAGGTGCTGGGCCTGGGCGTGCTTGCCTGGGAACCTACACGGCAAGTGGAATTTTTTTTCCTTTTGTTGGAACATTTTCTTTTAATGCTGCTGGAGCACTATTGCTGCCTCTCTTTTGCAGTGAGCGCAGTTAATCGCTGGGACCAAAGTTGTTCTTGCTCTCTTTTATTTCCACCATTTTTTTAGGTTTGGGAATAAGATATTCTGCAAGCACGAAAATGTGCCTTGTTTGCAGCCTGCAGGTCGAGTAAAAGCAAAACCAACCAGACGTTCCAGACTGACTCGTTTTCAGAAGATCAAAAGAGGCTATCATTGTTTAGTGGGGGCCCAAGAAGAAAGAAGGCCCAGTTCATATGTTCAGCAAAATTAACTGGCTACGATGCGTCCGTCCCCCTGTATCCTGTACTCATGTGAGCAGCAGAAGTGAATTGATCCGTAGTACTGTACACTGTAAAAGTGTACTCGTAAACGTGAAGTTTGGTCTTTTGCTTCTGGGAGAATCAGTTTGGTTTTTTTTTACTGCACGCATCTTAGTTACGATAAGTACTATTTTGTGCTCAGTGGTTCCTGCAGTCATGTGCTGCTTCAGGCTTTCAGCTGTTTCCTGAAATCTTGCCCCAGGGAAAACACTAGCAGCAAGATTAACCACTGCACATCTGGCGCCATGCATCCATCTCGATTAGCTGTCAACGCTGTTTGGGCCGGCGAGCTCCATTCACTGATTGACCTATACGTTTCTGTGTCTCATTTACAGATTTTTACCTGTTACCTGTAGTTGCCGTACTCGCGAACAGGAACCACCTCAATCTTCATGGTCCGGTTGAACGAGATCTATTGACGCTTGACTTGTCTCAATTAGAAGAGTGATCCCCAAACGATACCGGAGCTTTCAGGCACAGGGGATAATAAGGGTTGGATGAAGTAAAAGCTTACACGTCTTGCGGGCTTTCTCTCCCAAAGCCGTTTAATTAAACTCGTGAAAACGATGGTTTTATCCGTCGCCGTCACCCCGTGGCCGGTACGGTGAAGATTTGCTCCACCCACTTTTTCTTCAGAAAACAATTAATACATGATTTGCTCCACCCCCCAACCATCATATTACTTTCTCTACCTCTGGGAGACTCGGACTCGCGGCGTTTGTTTTCTTTCAGCTTCAAGGAGGGGGCGCGCGGATAGCACCGGTGCACCGGCATGGACGCTGACCACGAGCGCCGGCGTCCCGAGCAGGGCGCTCTGAGGAGGCCGCTTTTAGCCGACGACGAGGTACGTGTGCTTCTGCTTCCCCGCGCGCCCCCGTAGCAGCAGTAGTATGTACTACCACCGACAGCTTCGCTGCCGGCGCCGCGCGCGAGATTGCTCGTTGCTTCGAATCGCGGAGGGCTCGTGTTCGCATCACCCGCGCTAGCCGGCCACCGCGGCCGGTACGTCGCGCGCGGCTTTCGCGTGTGCCGCCTGAATTGGGCCGTGCACGGTGCACCCGCGGCCCGCGGCGCCCCTCGTTGTCGAACAACACATGATGGATGGTCCACAGACCACAGCAGAAGCAGCTCCTCCACTGTACTATATGGTTGTAGACTTGTGGCCACCGCACTGCAGAGTGCAGAGGAGTCTTTCCGTTTATCGATTTCTGCTCTGCTGAAGATTGCGAGGTACAATAGGCTGGTTACCTTCGCATTCCAAATGGGGCTTCGATGAGAACACCAACTTATTTACTTACGTGGCAACTGCTTTATTGTTCTATTTTTTGGTCAAAATGAGATTGGTACTAGTATACGGCGACTCTGCTTTAAGGTTTTGCTTGCTGTAATGCTTGCAGGCATCTTCCTCAAATCAGAGCCTGGTATCTCAGGAAGATCGGGGACAAGAGGTGGCTGAGGTGCAGAAGGTTGAGAGCTGCTCCAACAAGGCACTGATAATCATCTTGAGTGAGTGCCTAGCCATACTTGCTCGACTTGTTCAAATCAGCAATATTGCAATATCGTCAGATGAAAATGCTGAGAAAAAAAAAGAGTTACTGTAGTACTGATTTGTCTAAAAAAACATAGGTCTGAAATAAATATGTGTGCAGTAGCAGTAGTCATCAGCTATAGTAGGTTAGACAACGATCGGATTAGACTGATTCTCGAGAAAAGGGAAACGTAGATTAGAGTCTGATTGAAAATAATGATATGACTATATGAGACCTGGTCTTATGCATGATTGGATCAAATAAATGTCAGATTACCATGCGCGGATATCCTAGGATTACCTTTCAACTTTTTCCAGAGTGATGTTTTTCAGCCAACACTACTGTCTTTTCATATTTTTGCCTTTTTTTTGTCTACCTCTGTTTACATTCTTGAACTGCCAATTCGAACTGAATTATGTAAGATTCTCACCAGTCAACCCATCCTAACTAACAGGCCTGCAATTCTTGGAAATCACTGCCTTCTACGGGGTCTACCTGAACCTGATAGTGTATCTTCAGGACGTTCTTCATGGCGACAGTGCTTCGAACGTGGCGACGGTCAGTTCTTGGGTCGGAACTGCCTACCTCATGCCCATCCTCGGCGCCGCCGTCGCCGACTCTTGCTGGGGAAAGTACACGACGGTGTTGGCCGGCTTCTCCATAGCTCTCGTCGTAAGCGATCTTCCCCTGTAATGCACACGATCTGCAGAAGCACAATGGCGCTCTCTGCTTCTCTGACGGACACAATCCGAACACAGGGCATGGTCACCATCACCGCGTCGGCCACGCTGCCGTCTCTGAGACCGCCGTCGTGCGGGCAGAGCGCCTACTGCGTCCCGGCGACGCTCAGCCAGAAGCTGGTCTTCTTCACGGGCATATACCTCTGCGCCCTCGGGATCGGCGGCGCGAAGGCCGTGCTGATCGCGTTCGGGCCGGAGCAGCTCGACGACGACGACGGCGGCGGCAAGAACGAGCGGGTGCGGGAGAGGAAGGCGTCCTACTTCAGCTGGTACTACGCGGTGGCCAACGTGGGCATGCTCACGGCGGGGACGATGCTGGTTTGGTTCGAGGACAACGTGAGCTGGGGGTTCGGGTACGGCCTGTGCGCGTCGTTCGTCGCGGTCGCGGTCGTCGTCCTCGCCGCGACAGCGCCCATGTACCGGATCCTGCCCCCGGCGGGCAGCCCGTTGAAGAGTGTGATCCAAGTGCTTGTGGCGTTCTCTCACAAGGCTAAATTGACTTTGCCGGACGATCCAACTGAACTGTACGAGGACGACGGCGTCAAGAACTCGTTGCAGCATCCGGTGCACGAACGATTAGAGCACACCAACCAATTCAGGTAGTAATCTAATATATTCTCATGGAGCTAGGTGAACAACCATGGTCTCAGAGACTCGTCCCTTTGCGATGCACTAGGTGTTTGGACAAGGCTGCCATTGTCAGCGACGAGGATCTGGAAGACGGCGACAGGTGGAGGCTGTGCACGGTGTCCCAGGTGGAGGAGGTCAAGATTCTGCTGCGGTTGATCCCGATATGGCTCACGTCGGCGGTCTACTTCATCGCGAACACGCAGGCTCAGACCACGTTCGTGCAGCAGGGCACCAAGACGGACGGCCGGATCGCGCGCGGCGCATTCTCCGTCCCGGCCGCGTCGCTGTCGTCCTTCCAGATGGCGTTCGTCGCCGTCTTCGTCACGCTCTACAACAGGGCCGTGATGCCCGCGGCGCGCCGGTGCCTCGGCCGCGCCGTGGCGTTCACGCCGCTGCAGCTCATGGGGTTCGGCCACGCGACGGCGGTCGTCGCGGTGGGCGTGGCCGCGTGCACCGAGGCGCGCCGGCTGCACGCGGCCAGGGCCGGGGCGCCCGCCATGGGCATCGCGTGGCTGCTGCCGCAGTACCTCGTGATGGCCGCCTCCGACGCGTCGCTCACCGTCGGGCAGCTGGAGTTCTTCTACGACCAGTCGCCGGAGACGATGCGGAGCGCGTCGACGGCGTTCTACTTCCTCGCCATATCGCTCGGGAACCTGCTCAACTCTCAGCTGGTGACTCTGGTGGCGAAGGTGACCGCGGTATGGGGCAATGCAGGGTGGTTTCCACTGGACTTGGATGACGGTCACCTGGATTACTTCTTCCTGCTCATCGTGGCCATCACCGCGGTGAACTTCGCAGTTTACGTCGCCCTCGCCAAGAACTACACGCCAAAGAAGGTTAGGTAGGGATTATACTTGACATTCGCTTGTGTCAGAACAACAGAAAAATGCTTTGACGACGGGATGCAGAACATGCGCCGGCGAAGGGGCTCGACGGCCGTCGTCGTCCGCCACTCCGCGTCGAGCACCTGAAATGGCAAGTGAATGGTCTTGCAATAAACAGCCATAGGAGGGCCTTATATGTAAAGAAACATAGTACATAGGCAAAAACATGGGCCTAATTTTAATGGGCCGATTTGGACAGATTGACTATCTGTGGGCTGTACCCTCAATTTGTTGGGCCAGCATGGATCGACATCACTGGCAGCGATCCAGATTTGATGGGCCAAGATGCGACGCAACTTTCGCCGGCGAACTAGACAAGCTGAATTTTGCGGGGGCTCCTTGCTAGGGGGCTTCCTAACGGGCGCGTGCACGCTAGCTGCCTATCTGGCGCAGCCGCGCACGTCCCTATTTCACTTCTCAGCGCTAATAACGCTGATTAGTATTGATGACCTTAATTAGCGCTAATGATAATTGTTAGTATTAGTTTTTTTTCAAAAAATAATACATAAATAGAACTTTTAACTCAGATGTGGAAAACTTTCAACCCGGATTTGAAACTTTCAATTCGGATTTAAAAACTTTCGACCCAGATTTGAAAACTTTTATCCAAATTTGAAAACTTTCAACTCAGATTTAAAAACTTTCGACTCGGATTTGAAAACTTTCAAGTCAAGATTTTTTTAAAACTTTTAACTCATATTTAAAAATTTTCAAGTCAAGATTTAAATACTTTCAATCTAATTTTTTTTTAAAAAAAAATTCAACTTATATTTTAAAACTTTCAAATCTAGATTTGAAAACTTTCAACTCGGATTTAAAAACTTTTAACTAAAGATTCGAAAATTTTCAATTCAGATTTAAAAACTTTCATCTGAAAATTTAAAACATTTAACTCAAATTTGAAAAATTTTATCTAAAAATTCAAAAAATCAACTCAAATCTTAAAAATTTTCTACTCAAATTCAAAACTTTCAACTAAAATCAAAGATGAAATATTCAACTTCTAAAATAAAAAAATTGCGAAAAAAGGCAAAGAGAAACTAAAAAAACGCATACGTAGGTTTAGGTTTTTCAGAAAAAAAAAGGACGTGGACGCCGTCCGCGCGCATACGCGCCAGCGCCGTGGGCCTTATGGGCCTAAACGCGCGCCGCCAACGCGTACGCGCGAATTAGCTCTGGCGCCTTGCTAGCGCGTTCGCGCTGATAGCGAGCACTCCCCTCTTTTAAGTCTTATTAACTATCTCTATTAGTTAATATACTTAACACTAATAATAGTAATTAGGAAATATTCTCGAGATTTTTTGGGAGATTTTTTACTAACAGATTGAAAACTTTTTAAGTTAGATTTGAAAACTTTCAATTTAAGTTTTAAATTTTAAAGTCAAATTTTGAAAACTTTCAACTTAGATTTGAAAATTTTCAAGTTAGATTTGAAAACTTTCAACTTAGATTCGAAAACTTTCAACTCGAGAATCGAGATTCGAAAACTTTCAAATCCAGATTTAAAATTTTTGAAAACTTTTAATTTGAGATTCGAAAACTTTCAACTCGAGATTCGAAAACTTTCAACTCCAGATTCGAAAAATTTGAAAACTTTCAAATCGAGATTTTAAAACTTTCAACTCGATATTTGAAAATATTCAAGTTCAAATTTAAAAATTTTCAACTCAAAATTTTAAAACTTTCAAACTCAAAACGTGCTAAAGATTAAAAATAAAAAAAAAGTGGGAAAAGACGAAAAAAATGGGTAAAAAAAGGGAAAAAAAGCGTAGGCGGAGGCGCGCGCGCCGAGAATTAGCGATCGCGAAATTTCGTTCTCCGTATCGTTGGGCTAGAACTGCCCATCGTACCTAAGTACCTATTTCGTTGATCTATTAGACCGTAAAAATTTGATCTGACGGTCACCAGCAATCCTCCTCCATAGCAGAAGAAGAGCGCGCGGGCTCCTACTTTTCTCCTCGGCCCTCACCGCCGCTCGCCGGAGCTCCCGTCGTGTTTCCCCCACCTACCCTTTTTCAGACATGCAGTTTTACAGGCTGGACGATCTGAACTACGTGGAGATTCGGCAAACCTGCCCATCAATTTTGACGGGGAGGTGATGCTGCCGATCTGATCAAGCACGCAGATCGGGCTATTATCTGTTCAATTCTCTCTTCTTCTTTTTTAAGGGTATCAGTACGAGATTGTGCTATTTCATTAAAAATAGAGGGAACAAAGTATAACTCGTAGGGATAAAAAAAAATGAGAAATGTACAAAACTGAGAAGGCCTATACACAATTTGATATAAAATCTCGTAGCCTCCTTGCTCCCGCCATGGTCCTAGTTGTTGCCTCTTCTTTTATTTTTTTCATAAGGTTAAGGGTCGCAGTCTCCTTGTGTTTGAAAACCCACTGATTTCTTTCCTTCCAGATCTCCTAAACTATTAAAATAATTAGAGTCCGAAGGCCTTTCTTAAGCACATACTTTATATTGGCTAGCATTTCTTACCAATTTTGGACGCTCTGGCATAGAGCCTAGTGGCATGGGTCCAGATGCTCGTAAGCCAAACGGCTTAGAGCAGGTACAATTAACATATTTTAATGAGATAAACGACGAGACAGAAGAGCAACGGACTACAGATCTGTAGCAAGCTACAGCACGGATTATAAGACGTAATGTGTGTATGACATGTGGGACAATATATTAATAGTATAGTAAGCAACTATTATATGAATAGCTATTAAATTGGCTGTAGATGAATTGGAGCTAACAGTGGGCTATACTATTAAACTCTTACCCAATCTCAAAAAACGAAGGAGAATCGAGCAGCGGAACAGTCTTCACAGAGATTTTTCCAGAGTTACATGCGACTAGTTCTAAAAAAGATTAAAAAGAATTTGAACGCAACGGTCGGCGGCAACTACCTCCTAGCAAAGATCAAAGAAGATTTCAGGCTTGCGGGAGTTGCGGCATCGTCTGGTTGGTGAGGGCGTGAGGCCACGGCGCGCTTTTACGAGTTTCGTCAAGCGGAGGTTGTTGAGCTCGATCGATCGCTGGTCAATCTCGACCGGCCTAAACTACTTGACCGAGGAAATTCGCCACCACCTGCTCTTCCCAAGTTTCTTTGGAGCTCTCGCGTCGTCCTCCCCTGGGGGCGGCACGGGAGGCGGCGACCCGGCCACCCCTCTCCCTCCCCTCCTCCCCCTCTGCTTCGCCGCCGCCCGAGCGGCCGCCGGCAAAGCCGGCCGGCCGCAAGGACGGCAGCGGCGGGGCCTCTCGCGTCCTCTCTTCCGGGCGGGCAGGGGGCCGTCCTAGGTGGAGCGGCGGTGACCGCTAGATCCGGCCCGCTCCGGCCGGATCTGGCGGGGCAGCGACTGGCGGCGGCGAGGGTGGCGGCAACGGCGGCGGGGAGGGCGACGGCGATGTCAAGGGCGCATGACGCTGGGCGGCGGTTGCTGAAGGCGGCGGGGACGGAGTTGGCCGATGGCACGGAGGCGGCGGCCTGGTGCTCTCGTGGCGACGACGGCACGTTACCTGGCGGCGACGGCGGCGGTACCCCCCAGATCCGCGCCTCTCAGCTGGAGCTGCAGAGTGGCGGCAGTTGGCGACGGCGGCGGCAGTTTGGCCGGCGGCAGTTTGGTCGGCGGCAGTTGGCGACGACGACGACGACGGCCGGCGGCAGTTGGCGACGACGATGACGACGGCCGGCGGCAGTTGGCGACGACAAGGACGACGGCCGGCGGCAGTTGGCGACGGTCTCGGCCGGATCTAGATACCGGCGGCAGTTGGTGACGACGGCGGCTGTGTGGTGTCGGCGGCGGCGGCGGCGGCAGTGGGCCGGCGGAAACGTGGTGGCTGCCGTGTCAACTGGCAACGGTGGTGGAAGCCATGGCGTTGAGATGCTAGCTGCTCGGTGGTGGAGGGCGACGGTGCAGCAAAGGTTTTGCGGAGGCGGTGGTGACGTCGGCGGCGGGGAAGGAGTCGGGTGCGAGGTGGGGATGATGACGGCGAGGTGGTTGGGTGTTCGGCAGCAGCGGCTGTGGTGGTGGTGACCGTGTTCGCAGTCACCGGAGGCATGGCGGCCTCGGTTGACTAGCCGAGGGCGTGGGAGACGGTCGCATCTGGTCGGCGCGGCACCGTTCGGTGGAGGGGTCGGAGACCGGCTTAGCACAGAGAAGTGCAGCCGATGGCAGCGCAGGCCAGCTCGGCGCGAGAGGCACGGGCGGCGGAGATGGAGGCCGGCTTGGCGCGGGAGGCGCAGCCGATGGAGGGAGGCCGGATTGGCGCGAGAGGCGCGTCCAGTAGAGGAGGCCGGCTTAGCGCAGAGAGGCGGCCGGCGGTGGAGGAGGCGACCTAGGTGTGAGGAGGAGCTGCCGGTGGGTGTGGCGCGGTCTTCGGTGCACGAAGGCTGGCCGGCGGGGGACGCCGGTGCAGGGGTCCCACATGTCGGCAAAGCTTGTGTGGTGGTAGAGCATCGTGCATCAGTCGTGGTTTCGCAGGGGCGATCTCGTCTGTGCCCTTTGTTGATCTAGTGGCGGTCGGTCACGCTTAGCGGCGGCCGATCCGGTGCTAGCCTTCTCCTGGTCGTGTGGGTAGTGGTATATTTTTTCCTTTTCCTAGTTACGACTCTCCAGGGTTGTAATCTTATAATTTTTTCCTGCTCTATCAATAGAACTTCGCACCGTCTCGTGCGAGTCGTTCAAAAAAAAAAAATCTCGACCGGCCTTCACGTACGTATGGCCGAAAGCGATAACTCGATTAGACGATAGTAAATCTCATCGAAATGGTGAGAATAAGCTGGACACTAAGGCCCTCTTTGTTTAGGCTTATAAGCCAACTTATAAGTCGAAAAGTTTAAGCCAAAACAAACAAGCAGCTTTTTCATTTGGCTTTTTTTGAAGCCATAAGCCACTCTAACACTATTAAGCCAAAAGCTAGATTGGAGAAGCTTTTTTGGCTTATATGAGATAGATGTATGACTCCACCACTAAACTTAGGACATTAAATCCACTGGCTTATAAATTATATAAGCCAATAAGTTGATTTAAAAGTCTAGGCCAATAAGCCTAAGCCTAAACAAAGAGGGCCTAAGGCCTTGTTTAGTTATTAAATTTTTTTTTCAAAAAATATTACATCGAATCTTTGGATACATACATATAGCATTAAATATATATAAAAAACTAATTGCACAGTTTGCATGAAAATCACGAGATAAATCTTTTGAGCCTAATTAGTCCATGATTAGCCATAAGTGTTACAGTAACCCGCATATGCTAATAACGGATTAATTAGACTTAATAAATT